CTCCGCTATAAATCCTTCTATCTAATATTTCCTGCTGCTCGCACTCAAGAAAACTCTGGGAAGCTGTGGGGGTGGTGGGTAAACGCCCCACAGAACAGTGATGCTTAAAGTGGAGCTCCGTGGTCTCAGCACTTATATCACCTGACATCTTTGAATCAGGCAACTTCTCAGGCCTACTATCAATCTCTAACTCACAAAATCTGAAGGGACCCTCTGCTCCCATACACACACAGTGTAAGGGAGCCTCTCAGAGACAGTACAGAACACACTGAGACACCAAATCATTAGCACAAAGAGATGCATTTCCCCAGCAGGGCAAGCATGGCATTGGGAGCCTGCCTCTGGATCAGGCAAAGGCAGACAACACGCAGCAGGCTTTTTTCCACAGTGGGATTTTAAATAGAAAGGTTAAGTCTGTGCTAGGGTAAGTTGCTGAGATCTGATTTGTCAGGTTGGCAAGTGTAGCTGAGAAATGAATTTTTATGGTTGGACTTTGATGTTTAGTTTCAAGAATGAGTCGGTGTTCACAAAAGGGATTGAACTCTGGAGACTAAATTAAGGAATGTAATCTAATGGTTTTTCAAGGGAGAGGGAGGTGAAAAGCACAAAACCTGCCACTGCCATGTTTGCAATGTTTGGGCCCCTTAGAGGGCAATTCACATGCACACAAACTGACACAGAGTTAGGATGTCAGAGAAATGTATGTGGGTAAAATTGTCTCCCAGTACAAGGAACAAGACCAGAGAGGAGCAGGGATGGACTCCAGGCCTTCCAGTCACACACAGATTGAACAAGTAGGACCACCAGGCCCTTCAAGCTGCTCCCAGAGCAACAAGCAAAAGTAAATATCTTGTCAAATACAGAGACTCAGGTTAAACTCAGAGCACCCAGTATTTCCTACAAGCCAACATCTGTCAACATGTTGTGAAATGCATGTTGTGATCTTACACCCTACTGCCCCTCTCTGTGGATTGTGATTCAGGCCACAGGCTCTGGTTTTCATAAGGAGGAATCAGAACAGCCTGTGTCCCATCTCACTCCTACAGGCTTCAGTTCTGCCTCTCAGATGCATTCAGGGAAATTTTTGTGCAGGTAGCCCTGCAGGTGCAGCTTCCAGTGACCCAAGGACTGCTGGAATTGACACTGTAGGGTCAAGACATTCACCAGAGAACAGGGCATGATGAATACCTGTTGTTCAACTCATTGTTTTTGTAATGGGCCAGGAATTCACGCAGTTCATTCCTGTCATTGGTCATCATCTGTAGCTGAAGTTTCAGTTTTTCCACCTGGTTCAGCTGCTGTTGCTGCTCAGTGA